CGTCGCCTCTCTCCCGGGCCGCTATGATAGAAGGGTGCGCCCCCACACACTCCCCAAAGCGACCCGAAGGGGAGAGGGGGGACCGGGACAAGTGGTACTCACCCCAGGGACGAGCCGTCCCAAGACGAGAATCCCCGCAGGGTCCCGCCAGGGGGCGATCCGCCGCCGGTCCCGGTTCCCCCACAACGCCGGCTTGATGTTCGGCCGGCGCCGTAGCCCTGGTCTAGATGGTCAGACCGGGGCCCTCTCCGCCGGCCGGATCCCGGGATCCGCCGGCACACTTCCCGTGGGTCCGGCCTCATTAGGAGGCCGGCCCCTCCGGTGCCCCGGCGGTTTCCCGCTCGCCGGAGCACCCCCTGCCATCGGGTACTCGGAGCCACAACGCGGTGGCCCGAGTCACGGCCATCCTCGAGGCACACCGTGTAGGCCGCACTAGCCGTGCAGGCCTCCGGGTTGGAGGCGGCGGGGTCGGGGCCCGCCGTGTGCGCCGCGCCGGTTGCACCCCTTCTTCCGTCCGCCGTGGCTCCCTCGGGAAACCGGGGTTGGGTTGCGGCGGGCGGGAGGTGTGTGAGAATGAGAGAGAGGGACCCCAAAGGGGGCGGTGAGGTGACGCGCGCTCCGGGGCGTCCGGCGGTGCCGGGGGCGCTGCCGGCGGTGCCGACGACGGCGGCGGTGTCGGTCCGCCTTGAGCCGGGGGGCTGTGCAGGCCCGCGCGGTGTGCCCGGCCCGGCCACACCGGTAGCAAAGGCCGCTCCAGTCAATTGACACGGAGCAGGCCGCCCGGATGTGGCCGAGCCGCCAACACCGGTGACACTGGAGAGGGCGAGGAGCGAGCATCACCATCCGCTCTCCCGCCCACTCAGCGCCACTCTCCCTTCGGCGGCCACCCTGGCAGCCGCGGCGAGGGGGAGTCTCGCCCAGACTATCCCCTCGCCCCGCCAGCCCCATCGGATGGGGCTGAGGCGAATCTCGCCCGGCCCGTATCCTCCTCGCGCAGCGAGGACCTTCTCTATCTCGTCGGTAAGGACCGACTCATCAAAACCGACGAGTCGGACCTCCCCCATCCTTGAGGGCCGTGTGACGACGGCCCCCGGGAACGCCGCCCTAAGTTTAATAGCTAAGGCGTCCACCTCCCCCTCCTTCCCGGGTCAGGCCAGCCCGAACAAGAGGCCGCCATTTGCGGCCCTCCTAACGAAGACGGGCCGGACCCCACCCGCACCTGGGGCAATGTCGGCCCTCGCCTTGCGGAGGGCCTACGCATACGAGAGGCCCCCCCCTTTTTTTTTTTTTTTTTAGCCAGGGGAAATGCGTTACGCATACCCACGATCTCCGGGGGGAGACCGCGGGTTATGTGGGGCTCCTCCCCCCCGAGGATGCTCGGCGGGGGCCCTACCCACTAAAACCCATGGCGGGTCCGTCCTCAGCGGTCATCAGGGGGCCCGCGGGAACCACTTGCGCATTACTTCCGCGGACCCCCCTCCGCAGTCCTGAGGACCCCTCCCGGACCGGGGGTAATAAATCACCCCCGGTCACAGCTCCTCCTGATCAGCGGCGCGGTGCGACCCAACACCGCGCCGCCTCTCTCCCGGGTCGCTATATAGGAGGGTGCGCCCCCGCACACCCCCCAAAGCGACCCGAAGGGGAGAGGGGGGGAACCGGGACAGGGCGTACTCGCCCCAGGGGCGAGCCGCCCCAAGACGAGATCCCCGCAGGGTCCCGCCAGGGGGCGACCCGCCCCCGGTCCCGGCTTCCCCCCCGCGCCGGCCCGATGTTCGGCCGGCGCCGTGGCCCCGGTCTAGGTGGTCAGACCGGGGCCCTCTCCGCCGACTGGGCCCCGGGATAGCCCGGGGTCCGTCGGCTCGTCTCCCATGGGGGAACCAGCACCGCCCACATTCGGCGGTCGGCCCCTCCTGTGCCCCGTGGGCCAAGCCCGCGGGCCACTGCCTCCTTTCCTCACGGGGCAGGCGGGCCCCCCCATACGGTGACCCGCCTCCCGACCTTCTTCGCGGCACACCGCGCAGGAAACACCCTCCACACAGTCCCGCGCGATGTGCCCCGCCCGGCCACACCGGTAGCACAGGCCGCTCCGGTCCACGGACGCGGAGCAGGCCGCCCGGATGTGGCCGGGCCTCCAGCACTTGTGGCACTGGAGCGGACGGGCCGCGAGCAACTCGACCCGCGCGCCCGCCCACCCCAGCGCCACCCGTCCCTCCCTGGCCACAATGGCCGCAGCATCGAGGGGTAGCCGCGCCCAGACAACGCCGACCCCCCCCACCCCCTCCTAACGGTGCCCGTCCGCACCTCCCCAACCCCGCAGCCGCCGCGGGTCGCGAGGGCGCGGGATATCTCGTCGGGGAGGACCGACTCGTCTATGCCGACGAGCCGAACCTCCCCCCACCTCTTCGGCCTTGTTACTAAGGCGCCCGGGAGCGACGCCCTGATTCTATCGGCCAGGACGTCCGCTCCCCGGCTCCTTCCTTCCCTGTCAGGGCCGGCCAGCCCCAAGAGGAGGCCGCCATTCGCGGCCCTCCTCACAAACGCCGGCCGAACCCCGGCATCCTCAAGAGGGAGCTCCCTCAATTTGCGAAGAGCCTCCGCGTATGTGAGGCTCCCCGCTCCCTCCTCTAAGCGGACGTTGATCGCCGCCGTCGTCGGCTGCACCGGCGGCACCACGAGCTTCGGCGCCGCCGGGCGCACCGAGTGCCGCCCCTCCTCATAGGCCGGCCTAGAGGTCTCTTTCCTTCTCCTGCCCCCATTCCCGCTACCCGCCGCGAACCGCCCACGACCCCCGAAGGGGGCCGCGGCGGGCCCGGCGGGCACGACTGATCCCGCCCCAGCCGGCGGCGCCTCGGCGGCCACCGCCAGCCGTCCGACCGGCGCGGCGCCCCGCAGCGGGGACGTCGCCCTGTCCGTCCTATCGGGCCGCGCCTCCGGAAACGGAGACACGGCCCGATCCGTCACGTTTTTCCTCTTCCTCCCGGCGGTCGACTCCGCAGCTAAGCTCGCCGCCTTCTCCCGTTCCCTCATCCATTCCTTCCTTTCCACATTCCACATCTCCTTCTCTTCCTTCCATTTCCTTTCCTTGCTCTCCCAGCCCTTCCTTTCGGCCAACCACTCCATCTTTTCCATATCCCATTTCTTTCCTTTACTTTTCCATTCCTCCAGTTCCTTCCACCTCTTCTTTTCATCTTCCTCTCTTTTTTTCCACCAATCTTCCCATTCGTTTATGTTCCCTTCCAGAGCCTCTGTCCTTTTTTTAAAAGTTCTCGCGATGTCCTCACAATATCTTTTCAGTTCTTCACTATGTCCGGTGATGGTCGCCTTTTCTGTCTTACTCATCCTCTTACTTTTTGTTGTGGCCTGCTCGATGAGATTCGCACTTTCTTTGGCGTAATCGAGCCGGGTGAGGACGAACTCCCGGTTCCTACGCTTGTTCATCGGGTCCGGCCATCCCTCACTTTCTTCCTCTTCCGACTCTGCTTCCGTATCATCCTCTCCGCTTTCTTCCTCTTCACTTCCGCTTTCTTCCTCTTCGCTTTCCTTCTCCCGTGCCATTCCCGCACATTCCTCATACTCCTGGGTCCCTCCGCCTTCCTCGTGCTTATCAAGCTTCCTTCTCTTACCCCCTCCCTCCATTTTGTCCTTCCCCTTCCTTTCCATATCCCCCCTTCCCCCGGCGGTTGCAGAACCCACCGACGCGCCCGCCGTTGACGCGCCGGTTTCGTGTGGCCCATCGTCCGTTGACGACCCGGGGGTGCCTGGGACCATAGCCCCCCCGTGCCGGCGCGACACATCCGATCTGCCGCCGATCGTTCCTTTTCGTTGTTCCATCATCCTAAAAAAAAAGGGGCATGACGGCGGCCCCCCAACCCGGGCGGCTTTTCGGGCCGCCCCCTAGGGCGGTTTGGCTCAACGGAGCCTCAGGAGCCCGCGCTGCCCCCGCTGTGGATCCCCGGTGAAGTATTCACCGAGGATTTTACTACTCCCGGGCGCAGCTGCCCACCCGGGAGGCCGGTTGCCATACTGGCATAAGGGACCCGACTGCCCCCGCGGTGAGTTCGGTTCACCCGCACCGGCTGCCCTAAGGACAGCCGGGCGCGCTCGCCTCCCTCTCAAACTCTCGGGCGCCGCTGCCCGCCCGAGAGACCGGTACCATACTGGCATAAGGGATCCGGTACGCTCCCCTGCTGTAGGCGCCATTGGGCTTCCCTCCCTCTCTGAAGCGAGAAGGAGGGGAGCCCTCCGGCTCCTAATACTCATGGGCGCAGCAACCCACCCATGAGGGCCTTTTAGTCGCCTTTTACGACACGCAGGCCATACGTTGGGGGTATTCTTTACGTCCGCCACCCACACGGACAACGAGAGGCCCCCCGGCTCAAGGCGGACTGACACCGCCGCCGTCGTCGGCACCGCCGGCAGCGCCCCCGGCACCGCCGGACGCCCCGGAGCGCGCGTCACCTCACCGCCCCCTTTGGGGTCCCTCTCTCTCATTCTCGCACACCTCCCGCCCGCCGCAACCCAACCCCGGTTTCCCGAGGGAGCCACGGCGGACGGAAGAAGGGGTGCAACCGGCGCGGCGCACACGGCGGGCCCCGACCCCGCCGCCTCCAACCCGGAGGCCTGCACTTTCAGCGGGGACGTCGCCCGATTGCGCACGTTGGGCCTTACCTCCGGGAAGGGGGACACCGCCCGATCCGCCATCTTTTTCCTCTTGTCTCCTATCCTACCTTGTAGGCTCTCCCTCTCCTTATTCCAGCCATCCCTTTCCATTTTCAGTTTTTATAGCTCCTTTTTTAGTTTCCTTTCTCTATCCATATCCTTTGCCTTTCTTTTCTCCCATCATTCTCCCCATTCCTGTACCATCCCTTCCAGAAACTCTGTCCTTGTCTTGAACACTTTTCCCATGTCCTTACAATATGCCACCATTTCATTTTTACCTCTCATAATGTTGACCTTCTCTGTTTTGCTCATTCTTTTACTTTTTCCGGTAACCTCCTCGATTAACTCCGCACTTTGCCGGATATTCTCCAACCGGTTGAGTATAAAGTTCCGGTTTCTTTTTATGTCTTTCGGGTCCGGCCATGTCTCAACCTCTTCCTCTTCCATTACCATTTCTACCTCTTCAACCCACTCCCTAAGCTACCCTCTCAACCCTGTCCCTGAATCCCCCCCATCCTTGTCCAGCTTTCTTCTCTTCCCCCCTCCAATTGCACCCCCCAGTTCCATTCCTTCCGTCTCCCCCCCCATTTCAGCGGTAGTCCTGTCTACCGCGGTGCCCGCCGTCGACACCCCGGCAGCCTCGTCCACGTTCGGCCCATCGCACAGTGGGACAGAATCCCGAAAACGTGGCCAAAAGTCGAAAAATAAAGTTTCGATTTAGGAGTTTTTAACTATTGGGTTGGCTACAGTGATAGTTTGACTTCCAAATTTCACACACAGCAGGGTCCGATCGTGAAAATCTGAGTTTGTAGACCAGTTCTAATGTGACCCTCGCAGGAGTAGCATCTGTCGCAAACGAGAGACGAAAAATAACGGTCTTTTCAAAAGTACGCCAAAACACGTGGAATTAATCAATTTTATGTTTGTAAAATGGAATCATCTATTGATAGTAAGTAGAATATTAATATCTATTACACAAACCATATTAACAATAAACAAAATAGCCGTTAACAAATAATTGTACCAAAGTTTGAAGTGAAATTACGCATAAAAAGTTTAGAAATCGAGAGAAAAAGTTAATAATTCTGTAGAATTCTGCGACCAACTTTATTTTTTCTTGTAGGTCATATTATTAGTTAATAAAATAAACAAAAATTAGCTGCCACCAGCTGCCAATCTGGTTTTTGCAAACATTTATAATAATAAACACAGAAATATTCGTATATAAGCTGCTGCTTAAATGTCATAATTTTCATTTTTATTAAGTTTAATTATAATTTATTAATCTTAATTTTAATAAACAATTTAAAAAAGAAATTTTTTTAATTTGTTTTCATTTTTTTTTAAATAAGTTGAATATATAATTAATGAATAAATAATAAATAATAAAAGAGCTGCATGTAATTAATATCCACATTTTAATGTTTTAGAATCTGGTGACAATGCTGAAATGGCTTTGTCGAGGAAGGAAATTTTTATTTTAGTGAGAGATCATTTAAATGAACATGTGCCTGTAATTTATGAAGTAATTGAAAAGGAGATGTCCCATAAATTACAAAATTCTTTTAAATTACCAGAGGATGTAAAACAAGTCATACGCAAATTATTACACGATTTTAGAACGAAGTGGCAAAAAGTTAACAGGACAGAACAAAATTTTTTTGAAAAGTTTCGGCAATGGCTAAGCGTGCTCGTTTATTTCAATAAAAACGAAGTTGTAGAAGAATATATAGAAACGCCAAAAAAAGGGAATTTAGGTCGCCCTTCTTCATCATTTACAGCTTCAAGTGAGAGAACAAAACGAAGGAAAACCGAAGATATTCGTTCACACGCAAGTGTCGAAGAATTATGTTATGCCACGCAAATGAGTCTTCGAGCTGCCAAAAAATTAGATGCCGCAAAAGTTGTTTCGGATGTGACATTGGGCAGTCCATCGAAAGCCCGAAAATACAGAAAGTCTTTAGAATTTACTCCAGGAAGCATTCTTTCCGCTGATTCTGCTCTTTCGCTTATAATTGAGCAGAAATTATCAAAAAGTCAGTATCTGGGACTACGAGCTGTAAGCAAAGAAAACAATTGTAAATTATTTCCGTCATATCACACAGTATCAGAAGCTAAAAGTAAATGTTATCCGCTGAGATCAGGCATGATCATAACTGAATGCAGTGCCGAAGTCAAATTACAGTATTTATTGGATCACACAGTTCGAAGAATTTTATTGGTTCAAATGGACGTTATAAAGAGCTTGACTTCAAAAAACGTTCGCAACTTAAAGTTAATTTGCAAGTGGGGTCTTGATGGTAGCTCTGGCCAGAGTATGTACAAGCAAAAATTTAGTGATGATGACGGAAGCAAATCAGATTCGAGCATTTTTTTCACTTCGCTTGTGCCACTACAGCTTGTATCTGTTGATCAAATGACAAATGCAGAAATTATTGTATGGAAAAATCAAAGACCTTCATCTCCTCGATTTTGTCGGCCCATAAGGATTCAATTTTTGCAAGAAAATACCGAAGCCACCGTGAACGAGACAGATAACATTAAAGAACAAGAGAGTAAACTTGTCGCTTTTCAAACGGTTATAGACGGAAAAGAAATAAACGTATCTTATAATCTTGCCCTAACAATGATAGATGGTAAAGTTTGCAACAAATATATTAAAATGTTTCGAGAAGACTTCTCACGAAAATGTACTCGTACAAAAACTATGGAAGATGTTTTTTTACGGCTGTTAGTGGCATCAGATCCATTTATTTCAAGCTTACGAAAATTACCTACCAAAAAATTAAAATCGTTGTCATCAGAAGCAGTGCAATTAATAATTCCGCCAACTATTGAGATAACTGATGAAAGCTTCAACATTTCTACAATAAAATCATCTGACATAGATACTGATGATTCAACAGACTCTGAATAATTATTAATTAAATCTAATTATTTTTAATTTTATTATTGGACTATATTTATATTGTTTCACTATATATGCGTTGTCAAATTATATTTTAATAAATATCTTACTTTTTTACTTTTATTTCATTTCTTTTATTAAGTTCTTAGATCTTTTATTATAAGAAAAAGCGTAATATTATTTATAACGAGTTTCTGTTTAAATATTATAATTTTTATTACATTCTCAGTATTTATTTTCTTTATTTTTTATTTCGCATTTGTAATTAACAATTATTAAGAAAGCAGGGTATAAATTTTAGCCTAAGTAACACATTTTTTTTTCATTTACTTCGGCCATATTGGATACGCCATTTTGTTTTTTGAAATTTGCACTTCAGATTCGTAATCAGCGACGTCGAAAACATTTATATACCAATTTTTACAAAAATCGGACAACGACTTCATATTTTAGCCACGTTTTCGGGATTCTGTCCCACTGTGCATCGCTTGTTGACGACAAGGGGGGCTTGGGACCATAGCCCCCCCCCCCATGCCGGCGCGACGCATCCGACTCGCCGCAAGTCGTATCCTTCATCTTTTTCATCATATGTTATAATGGGGGGCTTGACGGCGGCCCCCCAACCCGGGCGGCTTTTCGGGCCGCCCCCTAGGGCGATTCGGTTCGGTTCAATGGAACTTAAGGAGCCCGCCCTGCCCCCGCTGAAATATTCACCGAGGATCTTGCTACTCCCGGGCGCAGCTGTCTACCTGGGAGGCCGGTTGCCATACAGGCATTACAGCCCCCGCGGTGGAATCGGTTCGCCCGCACCGGCTGCTCTAAGGACAACCGGGTGCGTTCACCTCCCCCTGATACTCTCGGGCGCCGCTGTCCACCCGAGAGACCGGTACCATACTGGCATAAGGGATACGGTACGCTCCCCTGCTGTAGGCGCCATTGAGCTCCCCTCCCTCTCTGAAGCGAGAAGGAGGGGAGCCCTCCGGCTCCTGATACTCATAGGCGCAGCAACCCACCCATGAGGGCCTTTTAGTCGCCTTTTACGACACGCAGGCCATACGTTGGGGGTATTCTTTACGTCCGCTACCCACACAGACATATTTAATAAACTTTTTTTTTTTTTTTTTTTTTTTAAGCCAGGGGAAATGCCTTTACGTATACCCATGGTCTCCGGGAGGAGACCGCGGGTTATGTGGGACTCCTCCCCCGCCGAAGAAGATTCGACGGGGGCCCTACCCACTAAAACCCCTGGCGGGTCCGTCCTCATGTGCAAAAATTAATTCTGCGTGCATAATCTTACGGTAATAAATTTAGAACTTTGGTGATAAATATGTATACATTCTGTTTTATTTTAAAATGAGTTGTACTGTGTTCTTAGAAATATTTAATTTTTAACTCATTTTATGTATATAGTATATTAGTAGATGTATCTTCTTCACACATTTCTAAAACTCCTTCTTTATTTTCATTTATACGAGCGTACCGTTCACATCCGGCACTAATAATAAGCATATTACAATACTCTACAGGAATATAATCCATTTTAATCTTTTAGAGGAATATTAATTCCTAAATTAACAAGAAATATTATTTTTTTATTAAAATAATTACTAAGAAAGAAATATAGGATCCTCTTAACTGAAATTAAAAATTAAAAAAATGAAAAATATTTATACATATGAGCGATTTATACGATACCTCTCGTTCACTTATTTCATCTTATTTTTTCTTGCTTTCTCTTGTTAACAATAAATAATTGATATTCTTCTCTTTAACCAGTAAATTATAATATTTTTTTAAAAATTTAAAATGGATTATACTCCTGTTGAGTATTATGATATGCTTATAATTTATGGTGAATGTGGTCAAAATGCGACTCTTGCCGCACAAGAGTACTCACTACGGTTTCCAGAGCGTAGAGCTTAAACTCAAAATGTAATTTTGCGGTTGATGAATCGGACACGAGAAACAGGATCTGTAATACCCCAACGCAAAAATATTGGCGCCGGACGTGAATGATACGCCCGTACAAATGAAAATGAAGAAGCAGTTTTAGAAATGTGCGAAGAATATTCATCAACAACCCTTATAGAAATATCATACTAAGAATCATTGATAATTACTTATTTTCAGTATTAAAAATACTGGATAATAAGTAATTATCAATAATTCTTAGTGTGATATTTCTATAAGGGAAGTGTACGCAAAATCAGCCGAAGATTAAATATCTCGAAGAGTTCAGTACAACTTATTTTAAAAGAAAACAGAATGCATGCTTATCATTTCACCAAAGTACAAAATTTATTACCGCAAGATTATGCATGCAGAATTAATTTTTGCACATAGTTACTGGCACAAGAACCGGATTTTATCGAAACAATTTTATTTACGGACGAATCCTGCTTTACGCGCGAAGGTTCTTTTAATACGCACAATTCTCACATTTGGAGCAATGAAAATCCACACGAATATCGAATTCAAAACTATCAACACCGTTTTAGTATAAATTTGTGGGCTGCCCTTATAGAAATATCATACTAAGAATCATTGAATTACTTATTATCCAGTATTTTTAATACTGAAAGTAAGTAATTATCAATGATACTTAGTATGATATTTCTATAAGGGTGGTATACAAAATAATTTAAGTTTAATAATATCGTAAGTTTTCTGTTTATTATTTGTATTATAGCTTATGTAAAAAAAAAAATAATGTAATATTTTGGATGTAAGGTTTGTTTTAGAACAATATATATCTATGTAATATTTATAACATATTAAATTACAGATTGGACCGTTTGAAATGTCCATAAGACTTGATGGCAATATTTATCAAAATTTTATAAATAATAATTTGCCAGATTTGTTGGAAAATATTCCACTAAATATTCGGCAACGGCTTGTTTTTCAACAAGATGGTGCACCACCACATAATGCAAGATGTGTACGCCAATCTTTGAGCGAAAAATTTCCGGGTAAATGGCTAGGATGCGGTGGTCCTATAAGTTGGTTAGCACGCTCACCCGATCTGACGCCTCTGGTTTATTTTTTATGGGGTCATATTAAAGAATATGTGAACAAGGAACCAATTAATACTCGCGAGGAATTACGAGAGAAAATTGTTGAAGCAATCGCCACAACGACACCAAACATGATTAGAAACGCAACAAGCAGTCTATTGCGACGCACACAATTGTGTATTGAATGCGATGGGGGACATTTCGAACATTTATTATAAAAAATATTTTAATTTGTTATTTAATCTGTTAAACTACTTTGTTGTTATTAAAATTTATTAAATATGTTAAAAGTGTTAATTTTTTAAAGTGTGTTAAATTAAGGTTTATTAAATACGTTTGAATTATAATTATTGTTTAAATTGATTTTTATTAAAACCATTGCAATTTGTATTTTGTTACGAACATTCAAAAATGTTCTAAAATACAATAACAATGTTCTAAAATATAAACAGCTATTAATTCTATTACAATTTATTTGTCTCGCACAGCGTAGCGTGGACACCTTCATGGTAATGTTAATCGATAATTTTGACAGCTCAAGTTGAAATATGCAAATTTTTACTTGAATTATTTTTGATATGCCTTTAGTTTTTATATTTTTTGTTTGTGAAAAAATGTATTAATATGCAATACATAGAGAAGCAAAAACATATTGCAAATTTATATGACAATAATATCATAAAAAGAGCGCATTAATAGGAGCACTTTTTGCATTTGTCATTTTTCCATAACTGAGCGCGCGAAATCTCAGCCCTGCCATTCGTTAAATGTAATCGCTTCCCGTTTAAAAACTATTATAGCCTCGACATTTTTGTATTAGAATTTTCATCTTAAAATATTGTAAGGAATCTACCATTAAGAGCAATTCCGGTGGTTTTAGGACACCCTGTATATATTATATATATTATATAAGGTGTAGTGAAAAGAAATCCATTATTTTTCCAATAGATGGCTTTAGTAATGTGTATCTCGCGTTGTATAAGTGCGATCGGTTTACGCTAGATGGCGTTAGAAAGATAAGATTTCGTACATTACGTAAGAAACTTCTCAGACAGTTTTGTGATTGTTTGACTTAGTATTGTTTAAGCGTGCGTTAAAGTTGGATACCAGCAAAGGGAAAATACGCCATATTTTACAGTTTTTCTTCGATAAAGGCGAAAACGCAAGCCAGGCGGCTGAAAATGTGAATAGTGTTTATAGTCCTGATACTGTAACAGCCAATCACGCGCAATTTAGGTTTCGTCGATTCCGTTTTGGTAATTTTGATGTCAAAGATGCACCACGCTCTGGAAGGCCAATTGTCGAAAATGTCGATAAAATAATGGAAATCGTCGAGTCCGACCGTCATGTAGGCACTGTTTCGATTGCCCAGGAGCTAAACATTGCAGAAAAAACCGTTTGGAATCACTTCAATAAGGCTGGATACAAAAAGAAGCTCGATGTATGGGTGCCACACGAGTTAACGCAAAAAAACCTCATGGATCGAATTTCCATCTACGAATTGCTGGTGAATCGCAACAAAATCGACCCATTTCTGCAGCGGATGGTGACTGGTGATGAAAAGTGGGTCACTTACGACAACGTCGAGCGAAAACGGTCGTGGTCGAAACGCGGTGAGCCGGCGGAAACGGTAGCCAGGTTTGACGGTCAGGAAGGCTTTGCTGTGTGTTTGGTGGGATTGGCAGGGAATCATCCACTATGAGCTGCTCCCCTACGGCAAAACTCTTAATTCGGACCTGTACTGTCAACAATTGGACTGTCTGAAGGAATCAATCGCCCAGAAGCGGCCAGCTTTGGCCAATAGGAGAGGAATTGTGTTCCATCAGGACAACGCCAGGCCACTCACATCGATAGTGACTCGCCAAAAGCTCCGGGAGCTTAGTTGGGAGGTTCTTATGCATCCACCTTATAGTCCGGACCT